GGGGGGGGGGTCGATGGTGCTGGTGATGCACACTTAGTGATGCCACTTAGCTGTGGCTCTGGATCTAGCAAGAGTCCCAACCAGCTCACTGACATCACTGGTTGCGAGGAGCTGGGCTTGACACCGGCTAGATTGTCTCACTCAGCTCCCGGTGACCAGTGATGTCAGTGAGCTGGGCAGGATGCCGGCCAGAGTGACCCAGGTTGCCAAGAGCTGGGCGGAGAGATGTGTATGGCCCTTATACATTTCCCTGTCTGGCTGCTAGCAACCTTGGACACTCTCTGGCTGGAAAGGGCGTAGCAGACACACTGCAAACATCGTAAAGCAGAGTGGCAATGCCGCTCTGTCTGCCCCTTCCCCCTCCCAAAGAGATGCTGTCTAAGGCAATAGCCTCATGCTTTCTCATTATAGGAATGGCTCTGACTGTAGTAGTCAGATTTTTTACTAAGTTTAAAGTAGTTTAAAGGCGAGGCATTTGTTATTTTATTGCATTCTCTACATTAGGTTAAAAGGCCCAGGACCTTTGCATGCTTCCCTGTCCCTAAACACTTACCTATCGTCTTTTGTCACTTCCGCCAGGTCCGGGAAGATATCCGCCATTGCCTGAACTTCCTGGTTGTGGGGGAGGGTACTGAGGGCAGTGGAGCAATAGGCTTCTGCTTCCGCCAGTTAATCTGTTGGGAGTAGAGCTATGGAAGGAGTAGGGCGTAGCATGCCTTGCACTGTCTGTGTGTCTATGGATGCACACAGCTAGGCACGGGTCACAGACGTGAGCGTGCACGCATGGGTGTCTCCTCAGAAGCCAGCTGGCTGAAGGAGTCACCCGCATACAGGCAGGGGATCAGCATTTCGGTTACCAGCTGCAGGAGGAGAAAAACAACTTTTAACAACAAGAATGTTTCAAAAATGTATAAAACATGTATAAAAAAGCAAAGGTCTATTATCACTTTATAGGCACATTGAAAGTCAATACAAATTATTTATGAAGTGGAAAAACAATGCAAATGTGCATTTAACATTTTTTCTGTGCTAGGACTTGCTTGTTTTTATTTTGGTGATAAGGTCACTTTAAAAATACAGGGGGCGTGGCATTCATTTATAGACTCTGGCATTACCCACAAGCCCTTTCTCGAACTATTTGCATATATTTCCAGGGTGTCTTCCTATCGGCAGTATGTCCTTTAGTTTGTTTTATTTCCTCTGTCATCATCCGGACCATACCATTGCACAGTGAGGGGTGTTATCACCGTATTCTCCTCTGATAGGTCTGTAGTGAAGCCCGGATCCTCCCCTGTGTGTAGTCAGCTGCTCTTCCAGCTCTACCATTGGCCTTGCCCGGGTCACACCCCTCACCGTGTAGGTGCCTGTGTCCTGACAGCTGCGGACGTGCAGAGGAGCAGGATTTGACCAGGTACTAACTACCTACAGCCCAAGGCGAGAGGGGGGAGGGACCCGGGGATGTGAAGGACATCGGCGGGGACAGGTGACGACAATACAACGCAGGAAGGAGACCGGGAGTCCTCTGACACTGAGCGGTGAGTGTGCAGAGCGAGATCGGCAACCATCATCTGTTTACAGCGGCATGTCTAATCTATTAGTAGGATCCGTGAAGGACTGCAAATCCCAGCATGCCTGGCCAGGTAGTGTCACTCCTCCGGAGCTGTGTGGGCGGGGTGGGTCATTAGGGTTGCCACCTTTTCTTCAAGTGAAAGCCGAATAGTCTAGCGCAGCGCACAGCAATTATTTGGGGGGAGAATGTAGAGGAGAGAGCGAGGAGAGACAGCCAGTGGAGAGAGTAAGGAGACCGCCTATAGAGGACTACAGGAATACAAAATAATATGAACATACATATTGTGTTGTTATGGGTTGGTGACCTTGATGACCTGGTGGGCTGTGCGGGCTCTCAGGTGGGCTGTATGGATGTCTCTCCTGCACTCCTTACAGCGTCTAGAACCAGTAGTCAATGTGGTGCTTGCAGTGATGAACACGGATGGCGCTGTGTATCTTCAAGTGCATAATACGACATACGTCGCCCTGATGAAGGGACCCTGCGTGGCCCCGAAACTTTGGCTTTTCTGAGACATGTGACAGCTACCAAAGATCACCAAAATCTAAAACAACATTTTGAGTGCTGGTGATTTTCCATTTCTCTGATCTCAGGGGGGCTGTGTGACACTCAGGTGGGCTGCCTGGGCTATGGTGTCTCACCAGGGGTCCACAGGCAGGCAGCGCTAGGAGGAGTAGAATGACCGATGCGGCTGCTGAGGTCCTCGGCAAGCGCGATCTAAGGCAGCCGCATCGGCCTGAAACCGGATCTTCCTCTGAGTTGCGGTCACCTGTTAACAAGCGCAGACTGCCCACATCTCCGGAAGATCCGGTTTCAGGCCAATGTGACTGCCCGAGGACCTCGGCAGCCACATCTGTCAGAAAATTTAAGCTGGCTGGACACCTGGACACATGACTCCAAAACCGGCCTGTCTGGGTGAAAACCGGATGGGTGGCAACCCTATGTGTAAATCCAGGGAAGCATGCTGGCAATGTGAGGATCTATTCTGGAGAAGGGACATTTATATGGCCAGATCTGCACAACTCAATATTTTAGGCTTTCTGTAATGTGAGTTTTCCCTTCCCAGTCTGAGGGGAAATGGATCACTTCATGTATTGGAGATAATTATTGTCCTTGTTTTGTCTTCCAAACATAAAGTGTATGAAAAGCCAAAACGTAATTTCTTTTTTAGCTTCCTATAGTGTAGACAGCAATGTTCTGAGAGTGTGATGAGCCCGTGTGCAAGATCATAAATTGGGTCACCTTCTAAATGCCATGGCAAAAGGCAGGCGTGGTTTGCACTGAATACTGACCCAATCATTGCTGTCCCTGACCGCAATAATGACCCCCGGCATTGGTGTCCGTGACCGCAATAATGACCCCCGGAATTGGTGTCCGTAAAGGCAATAATGACCCCCGGCATTGGTGTCCGTAAAGGCAATAATGACCCCCGGCATTGGTGTCCGTAAAGGCAATAATGACCCCCGGCATTGGTGTCCGTAAAGGCAATAATGACCCCCGGCATTGGTGTCCGTAAAGGCAATAATGACCCCCGACATTGGTGTCCGTAACCGCGTTAATGACCCCCGGCATTGGTGTCCGTGACCACGTTAATGACCCCCGGCATTGGTGTCCGTGACCGCGTTAATGACCCCCGGAATTGGTGTCCATGACCGCGTTAATGACCCCGGCATTGGTGTCCGTGACCGCGTTAATGACCCCCAGCATTGGTGTCCGTGACCGCGTTAATGACCTCCGGCATTGGTGTCCGTGACCGCGTTAATGACCCCCGGCATTGGTGTCCGTGACCGCGTTAATGACCCCCGGCATTGGTGTCCGGAACCGCGTTAATGACCCCCGGCATTGGTGTCCGTGACCGCAATAATGACCCCCGGCATTGGTGTCCGTAACCGC